TCTCTTCTGCAGTGGGCAAGCTCCCCCGTCCTAGAGACTGGCGATATCATCTCTACAAAGGAGAGCTTAGTGTTACGGTTTGTGACTTGGTTCTCAAAGAGGAAAGGATTAAAATCAAGTCCAGGTGGTAGGGCAGACAGTCTGATATTGGACCTGTGTTGACAGGAGTGCTCCATGATCTGAAGACTAGCAGAGGGTGAGGTGATTTGGCCATTTTCTTCAGTCCCTTAACATGGTCCTTGCTCACTAGCAAGGTCAGAATATCATCTGTAGCTCTTGTCTCCGATTACTGTTTTTCTCTTGCTCCTAGAAACAACGCTTTACCGGAGAAAAGGAAGTAATCGTGCTGAATTCTGTGCAGATGGTGCTTTGAGAAGAGGTATGGTTAAGTTAGTTACTGGTTCATCATCTGCACCCATCCTTGGTAAAGATGTGTTTTTCAAAGTAATGTGTGTGGTCATGCACAGACACAGAGCAATCAGGCTAGGTCAGAACAAAACCCCATCTAGCCTGGTATTCTGGCTCACACTGTGATTGTGTGTGATACCTAGTGAAGAGCAGAAGAGCATTGCAAGGATCTACAACACTTACTGGGAATACTCAAGAGTTTGCAACTATTTGCTGAAACCAGATTTGTTTAGCAACGCCCAGTGGTTTTCTTTTCTGTGTGTTCATACAGATCATAAAGAACGATGGGTTAGTGTCTGTTCAGCAGTGGATGGATGTGGTGGAGTGGAATACCCTGTTTGTACTAAGGTGATAAATAGAATATTGCTTGGTGTGTTTGCTCCTCAGAGAAAGTAATACTTGCGATAGCCACAGAGGTGGTCTTGTCTCCAGCCTCTAAGGAGCTGGTTAGTTACAGCTATGCAGGAAAGATTTTGGCAATACACCATGGAAAACAATGGTCTGAAGTAGGGACATAAAGAGAAAGTTAGGGGTAGAAACTTCAATGTTGTAGTAGGATATTAATAGATGGTAGAAGTTGGTGGTTTCATGGATGGGCCTCTCCGGTCCGGAAACCCATGTTTCTGGTAGGAGTTCACAGGAACTCCTGCTCTAAAAAGTCCTAGGATGACATAATCTGCTAGTATCGTGCCATCTGCTTCTCCATCCTAGACCTACCAGAAGCCTGTCAGTATAATGAAGCATTTTAGCTTCTTTCCTTTCTGGAAACCCGGTGGGACTTTCACTTCTACCTCTGTGTGAAAGATGGATAAATGAAGTGAATAATACCACAACTGACTCGGAGGATCTCCCAGAAACTGAACTACCTCACCAGACACTTTGATCTCTGAACCAAACCAGTCAGGAAATCAGGGAAGGCTTGACTAAAAACTGGAAAATTTTAAATTCTACTTTGTCACGGACCTGCATTAACAGCTCTTAACTGATACACTACAAACTGTAAATGCACAGAGGTTCCTCTGAGTTAGAATTTTGAGTCCTGGGCTATCTGCTGCTTCTGTGAAGCAGTTGCAGTCTGGTTAGCTTTCCTCCCTGCCTCTCTTTGCTTCTGAGCTGTTCTCTGTCTGTGTTGAAGATGAAAATCAGATAGAATGCTCCAAGTCCCTTTGTGTAGGGTTTATGGCACGATTTTGCAGACAGTATGCGATGCAGGCATGAATCACAGCTCCCTTTAAGATCCTGCTGTATTCGATTCCCTGGCTCTTTCATCTGACTCAGAACAGGCTGCAGATTTTTGTTTTTAATCTAAGCAATAGCCAATTTACTCCATAGATGAGTATTTGCTGACTGTTGCTACTGTTCTTATGCTCAGAATTGAAAACCCCTTGGAAAACGAGGCCAGCTTGTGCATGTGTGTACAAACCTGGTTTCAAATCTGTCTTGGATTCTCTCTTCCAGCTCAGCAAATGACTGACATGTTCGCTTTAGCATATCTTCCTCCCGAGACAAGCCGTGGGCTATGCCAAAGTGCCGTGAGGAGTTCACTGCGCGTTCAGTCGCACGCTGGAGGCAGATTCTGCAGCACCCTGGAGACAGGGGTGAGATGAGGACAGTAGCAGCCATGATTCAGAGCTGCTTTGCATTTTGGTCTTGCTAACAGATAATACTGAAATTTTTATTTGCAGTGAACTAAGATGCAGATCAGATCCTATTTCAATAACACTTTAGTATTATTGAAGTTATTTGAAAGAAAGTACTAAACCAGTACAGCTTCTGTTCAGTTCAAATTCAGGTACGGCTGAGGTTGTTGCAGTTCAGTCCACTGTAGTTCAAGGAAGGAATTCTTACTGAAAAATACAGCATTTAAATACAGAAGTGTCCATGTGATGTTCGTAATCCTGCAACACCTGGCATCAGCCAGAGAAACACTTATGCTCCTCTCTCCTTTCTCTCTGGTGGAGCCTTCTCATCACTTGTGTTTCCAGAGCTGTCCTGCAGCCTCGCTCGTGGGTCTCAGAGTTGGGCAGGGTGGGTTTTGGGGGCTGTGGCACTGTGCTGGGAACAAGAGTGGTTGGGGGACAGGGCAGGCTTGTAATCTGACAGTATGCTGTATGTATGAGGTGATCAGGTCTCAATGCATTATTCTAACTTGTTAATCAAGGAGAGGTTTTTGGGGTTTTGCTGCTTATTTGCTTATTTATTGTTTGGATCCAACATCAACTTTAACATGGAAGAAGAAAAAGCTATAACTGAAAGTGGCTTTCAGTTTAACTCTCTTGTTTGCGGTACAAAGCCTGATGCAGACCAGTCTCTGCAGATAGCCCTGACTTTGATAACTGGCAAGAGCATTTCTAGTTTAAAAAGCCTCCCTCTCTTCCTATTAGTTACTCCTCTAAGCAAAGCAGCTGGCATGACCTGGGCATGTTGTGCTTGTATTGTTGCTGTGAGACAATAGCTTAGCCTGAGGGAAGAGGACAACCTACTTACCACCGTATCCTCTGGGAGTAGTTACAGTGGGGCTATGTTGAAACCAGTGTTTCTCTGAAGCTTACTGAGACTATCTCAGAGTCGGAGGAGTTAACCCGTGAGATCTGAGAGATTAAAGAACTGAACTGAGGTCTATGTGTCCATAGGAGACAGGCTTTGGTCTCCTCAGCAGATGTGGCTGGTGTCATATGGGCTTCCATATGCAGCCTCTGCCTCTGTATCGGAGAAGGGCAACAGAAGGCAAGCGCACATGATGTCCCTAAATACGAGGCATGGTGTTCAACCCTGGATTCACTGCTCATGTGCTGCCAGAGGTTGAGAGCTACCTGACCTAACTCCAGTCCAATGCTCTGATGTATCCTAAAAACAAGAGTTTGCATAATTCAAGTAAGTGGAGATTATGCAAGGTCTGAAGAGAGCAGTGGGCAGGGGTCCAGCTAGGGTCAGGTGGTTTGCTGCCTTCCTGCAGTAATATATAATTTGTGATACCAAAACTCACAAAGAACAAGAAGCATTACAGCATATTCTGGAGCAAAAGGGAACTGCTGTACTGCCAGAGGCAAGCCTTTTGGGGGACATGGTTTAAGGTACCAAGATTGGCCATACATTAAGTCAGACTTGGGACTGCACTTTTCATATCAAAGCTACTGTGTTTTTCTACAGTAGCATTAGTCTCACAGAAAGCATTTCTAGGTGATTTACAGAGCTACTGCAGTCATCAAAAATACACAAGCAAGCAGTGTAAGGAAAGTAGATGGAGTATGCCAGACCTCTGGTTACAGAGGGGTTCTCACTCATACTGTGGCAGCTCAGTGACACCAGACACCAGGGAAGGTGCAGCTTATTTTGGCTCCACCAGAAGCAGCTACCAGACCCAAAAGAGAATTCTAGCTGAATAAACCTGTCATGCCATTGTACAGGGACAAGTGAACAACAGTCACTTTTCTTGCAGCACTTGATTAAAATAAGAATTCAGTTGCTCTGAGTTACTAGAGATGCATCTTCACTGCACAGTAGCAGTGAGTGAACTGTAAATATACCAGGCATGGGCAGTTTCCATTCATTGCCTGAAAACATCTTTTCTGTAGCAGCACAGCTCTGCAGCTAACCTAATAAATACTGGTGCTGAGCAGGGCTAATTATCTCCAATGCAGCACTGCCCTGGCGTGGCTGTGCAGCTTCCTGCTCCAGAATGAGCTTAGCCTGGACTTGTTTGGGTGTCTGCACTGTCCTTCATGGTACGGTGGAAACAGTGAGCAGTGCTTGATGGAGGGCTGTCGCTTGCATGCACCTGACTGCAGTATTCCTCTGCTCTAAATGTACCGGGGAAGTGCTGGGATCCAGAGCAATGAAGTAACTTTACAGCTCCTGTTGAAAACTTTTCTTTGACTTGGGTGAAGTTGTGGTCACCTTGGAGCTCTTAATCTTGGATCAGCAAGCCCTTGGCCCTTCTGGAAACAATAGCTGATAGTATGTGGTGCCTCCAAGCAAAATGTTGACTAATATGCTCGCAGCTGCTTTTTTTTTTTGTTATAAAGCAGTTGCCGGTATACTGTATAGATACCAGTTGCCATACAGATAACTACCAAATGGTGCTTCTCTGACCTAAAGAAGGAATGGAACTCTGTCTCAAAGATCTCATTGCCTAAAAACAACTTAATAAAAAGTAGATGTTGGGAGGTGATGTAAAATGGTGTACAGAAAATATCTGAGGATTCTTTAACTCAAGATAAGTCAATTGCTAAAACTGGCTCAGTGTCAGCTATTTAAGTGAGAAGATAGATAAATAATCACATATGCGGTAGCAGCTGGATTTATGCAGGTTCAGGTCCAGTTATATCAGAGAATACAGGGAAAGGCATTACATGGAAAAGACTAGATGAGCATTTTTTTGAGACCTAATCCCAGTCAGCTGTATAAACACAGTGCCCACTTCTGTTGGTCTGTAAGGAGTCTCAATTTGTTTGTCTCAAGACAATTTCAAAATCGCTCTTGTCCTTAAGAGAAGTTGCCCTGAGGACGGGAGATGGGGGATATATCCTAGACCAAGATAGTGTGTTTCTTTTCCACTAATGCTTCCAAATGTGGCTTTTCTTTTACTGTAGTACTGGATAAATGAATACACCTCCACTTTGGGGATTGGCGTCTTCCACTCTGGCATCGAGATCTACGGCAGAGGTATGAAGTATTTCCTTTTCACTACCTGCAGATCATGGGGACAACTGTATGGCTAGTCTGATATGGAAAACCACCCCAAACTTATAGATTTTGGCAAAGAATGTTTTGAGGAGTGAAAAACTCAGCCAGTTCTCTTTTTAGAGTTCATTGTGGAGTCCAGTGGGAACTCCTGCAGTTCTGTCACGGACCCTGTAGCCATTCTTATTTTCAGCATGTAACTGCAGCCTCTATAGCTTGTGCAGGTATGTAGCAGGATGGCAGATAGGAGGGACCAAGTAATGATGAAAAGCCAGTGAAGGGAAGAGAGAGAGAGAGGGAGAAACAGGAGAGGGGGAGGAGAGAGATGAATCGGAAGTTGTCTTGAGACCTGCATGTAAAAAGGTTTGTGCTAATTCCGTATCAGGGTAAATCAGTTTTGTAGTAATGCTTTACACTTGTCTATGGCCTAGAAATGATAGCATCTGGATTTCCAGATCTTGGAAACTGTTCTTTTGAAACAGCAGAGTTACAAGGAAAAGAAAATATCTTGCAAGACTTTTGAAATGGTCTGGATGAGATTGAAGCTGATTAGAGCACCCATTGCAAAAGGAGCAGTCAAGGGATCTGGGAAAACAGCTGTAGTGCAGTGAAGGACAGACTAGCATCACAGACTTTCCGTTTCCTTCTTCATCATTAAATGAGAATGACTCGGGCTATCTCACTCATGGTATTTTTAGCCAGTGCCATGCAGTAGATAAACCCCCTGGGGTGCCACATCCCATCTCGAGCACAGATGGTTTCACAGGCCGTGCGAGACAGCGTGCATGACATGGTGGGACCACAGGTTGTGTTTCACAGGCCATGCAAGATGATCTGTATGACATGGTGGGACCTCCTGGCTTGACCTGCATGCTGAGGCAGCAGAACACAATCTGCTTGGCTTTCTGCAAAGAATTCCCAGTCACTGCTTGTAAATCCTTCTGGAATAAGATGACTTGATTTCTCCCTACTCTAGAAAAGACTTCTTCCAGCTGGGTACCAGCACTGACAGTCTCTTGTAGTGTTTCTAGATGTCTCCACCGCAGAACTTTCCGCTGAGAGGAAGCCACTTGGATGGGCACGGAGACAGAGAGTTTTCCCAGTGCTGTGGGAAGGCAGCAGTGTTAGCATGGAGGGAGGCTGTGAGGGTACCCTCAGGCTAATAGGTAACTGGACAGAGAAAATGGCTGTCAGAGTCCGTCTGAAGTTGGCAATAGCCCAGCCCCTGGTGCTGATGCTGAGCCATGCAGACAGCTGCCATAGACTTTTTCCTGACATTGTGTTCATTCAATTACTCACAGTCTGTTTCTTTCCTTGTCAGAGTTTGCCTATGGAGGGCATCCCTACCCTTTCAGTGGGATTTTCGAGATCACACCTGGAAGTGCGGTAGAACTTGGGGAGACCTTTAAATTCAAGTAAGGGCCCTTTTCTACCTCTTCCCCTCTTCCCCCTGGTAGCCATCAGTATAGAGGGAGCAGGGAATTCCTCTCCTCTGAGTCCCCCTTTCCCGCTCCTCATAAATGCCCTCACTGCATCCTTTACATGATGCTGGCTCAAAGGCAGCCCTGCAGGGATTTTGGAGGTGGACGAAAGAGCATGTACAGCAAACAGGAAACAGTGCTGAACTGTGTTTGGCAGGGTTTAAGCATACCTACAAATGAATGCAGTTCCCTCTTCCCATTTTCTTTGTTTCTTGTGCTCCCAGTTTCACCTGTCAGCAAGAATGGGAGTAACTGTGTGTTACACAGAGCCAGTGCACAGGGGAAAAAACCAAAACCTAGTCTTTTTATGAGTATCACCTATTTACAGATATGCACAGAGTACCGGAAGTCATCTCCTGTGTTTATTGCTACTCTGTCACGAGGGACAGGCCAGTTGCTAGAGGAGTGTGAGAGGATGCTACATTAAGGTGTTTAGGGTGCTCAGACACTGGGGCTGTGGGTCAAGGAACCAAGGGCCCATGGCAAGTGGGGCTTTGCCTTCCCAGACTGCCAGTTTATGTTGAAGGTTGTTGGAGATTTTCAGAAGCATGAGTGCTATTAAGTGAATATTGGGGGCAAGCAATAGGTTTCTGAATAAAGTTCTCAGTTTGCTCCTTCCTGGTCCACCCCCTGGAAACCCTCTCCATCATGAGAAAATCATCTCCTCTGTCCTACTGGAAGTTTCTATTGAGGGGCAAGGGGCAGAGTGGGAGCAGACCCTCAGAGCTGAGACTTCCCTAGTAGTGAGCAGGAAGCTCTGGGGGCTGTCGCCTGTGCTGTAACCTGCTTTGTGGATAAGCTGGGGATATTACTGTGCCATTTTTTTAGTGAGAGTCTCTGATAGCCCTGGACATGCATGTCCATGTTTTAAACTTCTCCTCCTTGCAAGTGCCTGATCATTTCCTTTTCCCTGGGTATGTATCACTCTTTCACTCTTTTTCACTATATCTTTCCATGTTTCCTGTTGTGTGTTTTGTTTTTAACTAGAGAATCCATTGCCTTGGGCACTACAGACTTCACAGAAGAGGATGTGGATAAGATTATGGAAGAGCTGGGCAAGGAGTACAAAGGCAACGCGTACCACCTGATGCACAAGAACTGTAATCACTTCTCTGCTGCTCTGGCTGAGGTGGGCACAGCTATCTCTTTTTTTTTTTTTTTTTTTTTTTTTTTTTTTTTTGTGCTTATTCAGATCTGTAGCAGTGCTTGCAGAAAGGGAACTGAGGTCAGCACAGCCTGCCAGGCCAGAGCGCATAGCCAAATCTCCTGTTTCTGCCCTTAATCCTTTGTAGAAGCCCTTTGCTGTTGAAACAGATGGGATCAGGAGGTGAAGATGCAGCAGGTTTATCATATTTGGTCTAAACTGTGTGGGAAATTAGGAGTGCCTGTATTTTGGTTCACTGAATAGACACTGAGCAGGAATTGGAAGGACAGACCTGGCTAGCATGCAAATGTGCATAATTTTAATAGCAAGCACAGATAACCTTACATGGTCTGCAAAGGAATAAAAATGGCTTATCAGTGTTCTGCAAACCAAAATTTGCAGTATTCAGGAAGTGAGCGTCCCTTTTCCTTATTTAATGTGCATCATCCAAAACCCATTTAAAAAAAGTATTGATTTTCTCATAGACATCTTTCTTTGCTTTCTCATTTTCATGTTCGTAAAAACACTGTGAATTGTAACAGAGCTGTTATTTCTCTTCAGAGAGAACTGAAGCACAGAGAAGCACAAGTTTATCTTGAGCATCTGCTAATTTGGGATATTTGATTTTCAGTTCCAGAAGATTTGAATGTGTTGGGGGGAAGCAGCCTTCCTCCTCACCCCCTAGATGAGATGTTTAAAGTGTGTTTCAATTAAGGTCTGAGTATTCAGCGCTTCTGTAAATCTGAATTCAGGATCTTGACTCAGTGCCAGAAAACAACATGAAAAGCACCAAATGGCAGTGACCTTTCATAAAAACTGTTTCTGTGTTTTCCATAGGTGTCTTATGGTCAATGTGAGGAGAGAATCTTATTCTTCACAGTAGAGTTCAACTACTCTAACACTGAAACTTTCCTTTGTCTTTCTGGTGTCCCCATCCTCATTCATTACACATCTCTCACCTTTCTTCATCATATGGGGCAAGAGTCCTATGCCAAGAACCTTTTTTGCCACAAGTCCATTCATTCCCCAAACAGGCCTATCAGGGATTTTGAGTAAGGTGAGATTCTGTAGAAAAAATACTGTATGATTTTGAAAGAAAATCTCTCGTGAATCTATGAATCAGCAATTAATTTACAAAGGACCTGCTTAGGCTCTTAGGATAACCAGTTCTCTATTGGTTTCATCGTTGCTAACTGTAGAAAGAGAAAATGACTGAGTACTTTCTGTAAATGTTATCAAATGAAAATAAACAGTAAGGAATTGTATTGGTACAAACAGAGAATGAAGTTTCATGCAGTACAGTGATCAACTCAGTGTTAGCCGCACTACTGTTTCGGAGTCAAATAATCAAATTACTACAGCAGAAAATGGGAACTGTAAAAATTACAAAGGAAACCTAGTATAAAGCTGTGTGATTATTAGCAAAAGCTCAAAAAAAAACCCTTTACTTGCAGCAGTGAAATAAGGTCATTGCTTATTACATGCTTTGATATGTAAAATTTCTGTCTCATGTCCAAGCCACAAACTCAAAGCCACTCTTCCTTGATTCTGCTGCTACACATCTTTTAACCCCTCACTGCGCCTTCCTTGTCCAACCTTCCAAACACAGATAAGATATATCTCAATAAAAACCTACTAGTTTGTTTTAAATTTTGCTTTCAATACACCTTCAGTGAACATCTTTACAGGACTGGTATTTAGGGTTAAGTTTTCCTGCAAGAGCTTTCTTGGTGGATTCTGTGTGCTCATTCACTGCCCCACAACCTGTCCAGATAATAAAACAAAAGCCTAAATGGCTAGTCCTGACACTTCTGCTCCCAGGAGCAGAATTTACTCAGGATTTAGGTCAGTTTAAATAAACCCTTCATAGGCAAGCAGGATTTCTTGTTGCCATTGCTCTTCACATATGTCTGTGTTTATCACCCCTCTCTAAAGTATTACAAAGGCAAAACCAGAGGAGATCCACTACAGACCCAGGAGCAGAAGGCCCTGAATGGTCTCTAGCATCAAGATTCACAAAATAGGAGCTGAAATTCTTAAATAAATAGCTGGTGTTAGGACACTAGGAAAAAGTCCCGGCCTCTCAACATGCCTCAGTCAGCAACATGACAAATACATGTGGCCGCCTTATGACAGATGTCTCCATCCTTTCTGGTAAACACAGTAATTTGGCAATCACTGTGTTTCAGAGCTGGATGGCAAGTAGCACAGCTTATCTTGGGATACTTCTGACCTCCTGGAAGAAATACTGCTTTAAGTCTGTTGAGACAGAACCTGCTTGAACTGAAAGCAATGAAAGTTTCTGTTCTCATTTCCCAACATCTGAATGCTTGCTTAACTTTACAGTCTTAGTGCTTTTTTTTCTTGCTTGCTGTAGTTCCCATTAAAACTAAACAAAACAAAAACCACCGCATTAGGAAGTTCCAGGCCCTACCATGTAGAGCTATAAGGTGCAGCCTTACAGTGTGCAAAATGTGCTGACTACATGATGAGTGGCTCTCAAGACTGTGTAGATATGTGTCACCATGGAGGGCAGAAAACAGAACCGATATTTGTGTCCTAAAGCCAATTGTGATATGAGTCTGTTTAGTGTTTGTATTGTCCTTTCCTTCAGACTCTTCATCTGTGAAGCAGCAATAATAATAATAATTAGCATCTATTTATGCATAGCTGTGTTATGTGGCAGTTAAAGACAGGGAACTGGAAAAAGTAGTCAAAGAATTAAAAGAAAAGATGTAGAAATTTTGTTCAACAGAATAAAATTACTAACTGAAACTGGGATTTAATTCCAGCCGCACAAAAAGCAGCCAAGGATGTGAAAAGCATATAAATTCTTGGTCTCTCTGTTGCTGTAGCCCAGCTGAAAGGTGACGCTATCAGTACTGCAAAGCCCTTTCACCACAGAGATGGTTCGGGGTGGAGGCCAATTTTTAGCGTGAAAGAGGGAGTGACCAGCTCTGCTCCCTACGGCCCTTTAGGCCTTTCTGCTCATGGGCATAAGTAGCTGTGGTGAGTTCAGGAGATGGTTGTTCTGAGCCTCCTGGGTAATGCCAGGCAAGTCACATCCCTGGTCTGTGCCTAAGCATCCCCCCTTGTATGCTGGGTTATTTCTTTCCTTCGAAAAGGGCTCTGAAATCTTTTGGTGACAGCTCTCATATCTGCCAAGGTTAATTAGCTGATTTATGGCTTGTATTGTTCTGTATCAGCACACAGAACCAGAGCTAGAGTTTTATAGCTGTGTGGCGATGTATGAGTTAATGTGTGCTCACACAAATCTGTCTGGCAGGCCTTGAAATTTGGCTGGACGGCCATGTGCTAGGTAGCTGTGTTTGGCCACCTTGATTTCCTCTTCTGGCTGTGGGCTTGCTAATTAGTACCCATACTGATGTTGCCCCGGTGGCTGAGCCATGGATTGGGAGAATACCATCTGGTCACACAGACTGAGGGCAGAGGCAGCTACACGTCCTGCTGGCTGAGGTCACGATTCTGCAGAGGGAATGGGAAGGAGGTATTAGGCTGGCTGTCCCTCCCAGATCAGCTTTCTCAGGATCACACCGTGAGAGTGTCCGCGTGTCCAGTTGCCAGGACCTGTAAGCCAGGTTCCCTATCCTCAGAACAACTGCTGAAGCCACATGAGTTGGCCTTTTCTTTCAAAGTTTTTGTTTTCTTGTCCTTCACCTGTGTTTTCTCAGCAAATAGAACATCCATCCAGAAATATTCCACCTACATCTGTTTATGAATGATTTTTCTGTCGAATTCATGTTTAATACAATGATGCCTCAGGTCCCACCATGATAACTCGTAGCTGTTATATTTAACAGTTATAAAATTTGTGGTCTATGTAGGTGATGCAGACTGACTGCTAATGGTTAGAGGCATGTCCAGACCTATGTTCATGACTGTGCCATTTGGCCATGCATCTTGAAAAATCCCTGTGCTGCAGCACAGACAGATAAGCTCTGTTCAGCCACCGGGCATGCCTCTGACCTGCTATCTACCTCTGAAAAAACTGACTTTGCAGTGCCGTTGCAGCCTAATTGTGTGCTGCTGTGGCAATGAGCCTCTCCCCACAATGCCACTCATCTCTCCTGAGTTTTCTGATCTTCCTGCCCACACTCACTTGTAAGCTCAAGGGGCTTTGTTACTCCCTCACTAGCACTTAGCTCAGAATTTTCCTTACTCCCTGCGGCCAAGCATATTCATACTTGCTCAGGACTTAGATCTCTCCCTGCTTTGCCAGTTCCCTATGGACTGCTAATGAGCAGCTACTGGATCAAAGAGGCATGGCTGACAAAGCAGCTCCTGTGAAAAGAAAACAGAGAATGCCCCGGCTTCAGCAGCAGTTCAGTCTTCATCTTCTCCAATGCCTTTTCAGGTCAGCTTTCTCAGTGACCAATTTTGTGAACTTGCTGCATGATCAGGATTCTCTTCCTGTGGATTTCCTGAGAAATTCTTCTTCCTCAGGGAACTATGGGCTATTTAAGAAGTGAAGAACTACCAGAGACCACAAGTCTCTGCCTAGTAAGTGCTGCACACTATATTCATTACAGCGTTGAAGGACATTCAGTGTCAATCAGGGCAGAATTTCCTAGATAGTCATGACAGAGAAATCAGGTGCACTCCCTGTGCACGTGCCCAGCTTCAATTTAAGGTAGCTGGTACACGCACCACTCAATACGTCTTTGCGGTCTCCCCTCACCCTCACAATCTATATCAGTGTGGGAAGGTGAAGGGAGCTTGATCTAGCAGTGAAAATCTAGTTAGGGTTGCCTCAGCCACTCTGACTACTGCAACATGGTCCCATGGTACCTATATTTATAAACCACTTAAGCAAATTGTGGGTTAAAATGAAGAGGTTCATCAAACTGGGATTAGCAATTTGCCTACAAGAAGCTTATTCCTTTCATGTTGCTTATGCTGACTGTCCCCAAAATCGAGTAGTATCAGTACCATGCTCTCTGAAGAAAGTGTCAAGGAGGATGGGC